AATATTTTATCTTTACCTTCCACCAGATGTCCCCAATGATTCCTATGACTTACAAGGCCAAACAAACCAGCTTTGAAAGCCTTTTTGAATCCTAGGATGTTTTATCGCTCCCAACCCCCTGTTGCGGATTGCCCGACTGGACAATCGTGGAAGAATTGTTGAACGTTTTCTACTACTTGCTTCTACACTCTGCCTTTTAAATAATAAACAACCAACATTTTATAGCACAAGTCATAACTCGTTTTGATGTATAGACTATTTATATCATTACCCACAATACTTCCTCGCTTTTCATGGAAGGTTTAAATACAAATTTCGGGAGCGACCATTTTCCCATCCTTCTGGTTATAAGTATCAGCTGCGGTAAACGGGGCTCAACGGTATCGTTTTGAAGTGAAAAAAAAAATAATTGAATAAATGTAAAAAATGTTCCAAGTGTTTACGTTAACAGGTCCTAATTGGCCGTCTCGTTGTCTGCTATCCAGCTGGGTCATAGCAGTGCTTTGTGTCAATATAACAACATTTTACTGTTGCGATAAGATCTATTTTTCTAATAATATATACACGGTGCCAACATGCGGCCCGTTTTTGTAGTATCACCTACAGTGTTGCCAGCCCACTAATTAACAAACCCGAAGTATTCAGAAAAAAAAAAACATCAAGGACGAAAAGCAAGAACGACTTTTTAGTAGAATTTATTCATCTATTTGGCCAAGAAACAATTTAATAAACAAAGGTACTAATAAAAAATCTTATTTATGATTCAGGCTGCTTTCACGAGCACAGTGATGTCCACTGCTTCATCCGCTGGTTCCAGGTGTATCGCCATACCTTCTGTCGCACACCTCCATTGTTTCAATCTTTTGTGCAACATTTAGTGGCATCTCAAGGTTGCCGGGAGAAAATTTAAATGCCTCGCAGACATCTGTATTTTACAGTAGTGGTATGATTCATCTGACGTCGCTTGAAACTTTCAGAATCAACTCAGGTTCACGGTCCTGAACCTCTCTCCTCTATTTAAGAGTTGGACATATTTAGTTGGGTCCGTTATATATGGTCCACTTTATATGACATTGACGGGTTTATGCACAAAATCTATTTTCCAATGCTCGCCACCGTAATATCTCAATGGCGATGAGGGTTGCTGTCGCTGACCACAATTTAGCCGATCGCAAGCAACAATGACGGCCCTATGACCAACTTATATTGCACTCTAAGGTTTTTAATAATGCCAAATAAAAAACCATAAATATTATTGGTCCACCAGAAAAAAAACAAAAAAACTAACGTGACTCAGAAACCGCTAAAAAATTTCACCACTCTCAAAACTGAAATTCATCTGGCTAGACAACATTGTAAACCGATAATTTTAGAAGAGAAAACCATTGAATTAGCAACACTGGATACCTATCCACACGTAGGTTTGAGCGGAGGTTCGTGTCTTAAAGTTGCGATCTTGCGGCGACTTCCAATATTTCCAAAACATTTTTGAGCTGTTCACGTGCTAATTGTACCATGTAATAGGTAGCAGAAGCTGGTTAGCCGTCCGGGAAACATATAATGAATCTGGGGATGGGCGCAAACACGTCAACGTTGAGGAATTTCTGAAGCGCACTCGAATTCTGGCCACCTTTAAAGGCCCGTTCACGCACTTGCAACCGAGTAAGACCGACTGAGACAAGACCGGTTTTTAAGCCTCTTGAGACGGCGTAGGACCGAATGCGCTCCGCAAAGCAGGTCCTAAGCCATCGCAAGAGGGTTTAAAAACGGTCTTGTCTCAGCCGGTTCTACTCGTTTGCAAGTCTGCGAACGCGTCTTAGCACGAAATCAGTGTGTTTACCGCCTAGAAAACCATAAAAACCGGGAATTCCCAGGGACTTCGGTGGGTTTTAAAACGCCAAGGAAGAGTCGGAAAGTTGTTACCCCAGTCAACATTGGTAGGGGAAATTGAGCTCTCCTTCCTCCGACTGATAGCAAGAGAAACGTGTCTGGTGTGACGCACATCACAGGTGACGCAACCGGCGTGCCGACTCAAATTTTGGCTCGATGTCATAGATTGGGGGCAACCCTAAGTCTGAACCCTAATTTTCTCCTATTAAAACGCTCACAAGACAAACTTTCAAACTCGTTCACTGAAAAAAAAAAAAAAATCATTGTTTAACGGCGGTTTATGATGCTGTGTCATCTTCGGGTGCGCTTGCAGACAATGATTCGACGAAGAAACTGCGATGGTGTAGATGGTGCATGGAGCGTTTGTTGTAAAGAGGAATTCGGGAAAACGGAGCCAGAAAAACCTAAGGTGACATCAGAAGACAACACGCCGATGCAGCAGTAAATAAGGCTTCAGAATATTGCAATCTCTATTTGAATCGAAGACATATGTATGAATCAAGCGGAGTTACAAACCTATATTATTCGAAACAAAATTAAAAATTTGAAGCAGCGAAAAAAAAAAATAATGGAGTCACATGTAGACCTCAGTGCAGTTTAATAAAGTTTAACTTTATTATTATTCTATACTGGCGCTCGTCCTCGATCTCTGCTCTTGGGCACTTGCATCTGCTCTATAGCCAACCATTTGAGTTTGTTTGAAAATTTAAATGGCGGGATGTTGATTTTTTAACTTGAATATATAACGGCGTAGTGATATTGATATCGGTATTTATTTCAGCTGAGGAGAGCCTCGGCGCTGCAGAAAGGCAAATCCACTGTAGCATGGACATGCGGCGACGAGTCTAACGATGATGTAATGGTATGGCGCAGATTAAAAAAAAATATGTATAGTGATGGTTCAAGTGGAGATTGTTGGGCGATGGTAATAACGTGATGTCGCGGTTGAATGATTTTTTTTTTTGTTTTTGTTCCGATTGGTTGTCGTGTGTTCTTGCGACGCTACAACATTGTCATGCACAGAGCGGACATTGCTGTAGCACATGGAACAAAACCAGGGCTTGTAGGCACGTAGCCGCCAAAAGCAATTAGGTGAAAAGCGCCAGTCATGCTCCTCCGCGTGACAGCAGTCCTTTAGCCCCTACATTCAGCTCTTCGAGAGATTGAAGCATATAAAGTGACTGCGAACTGCAGGTACGTAAAGTAGTGATATGCGCACGGTCAACTGTAGACAGGCCCATCTAGGTTCAAGGCGTCATTGTGTAACAGCGCCTTTGAATTGTCACAATCAAGATTAGTGCCCAGTGCCAAGCTAGAGATCTTAGCTTGTTACGCGTCTTCTTACAAATGTTGTGGGCGCATGCTTATGCAGCATGCTGTAAATATACTACCATAAATTTAATCTCCTTTAAAGGACGCACAGGTTGACCTCGTATTTGAAACAACTGTTATTCAGCAAAATGTATCAAAGACCAGACTAGCCAGGTATGGTGATCCAATGGCTGGCCACCACTCTCTCGAACGCCAGATATATATCACTGTTTTCACTTATAAAATGAGCTCCATACACATCTCGTCTTATTAGAAGTTGGTCATTGAATTTTGATAAAAGGGTGAGACCAAACCTGGCACAAGTCAGAAATTTTGTGAACATAATGTTATGTAGGCCCCCTGGAAATAACCGACCATTGTTTCCTCCGCATGCAGGACACCGAAGCTTGATGGCGTCAACTGGACACAATACACTCCCTGGAGTCCTGCGGTCTTGTGGCTTCAACCCGGGAATTACTCTACGCAGTACGACATCGGCGACAAAAACTGCGGCTTCTGGGAACAGTTTATGCAGTAACGTGATCCGAATAGGTTTATGAGAAGGAATAAACAAGCTCTCTGGAAGACTCTCTGTCTCTCATCACAAGGAACATTGAAAAATTACCTTTACCTCTAAATCCTTCCAATACATGACATGCATTAATGAGGAGTAATCGTTCTTTTGTTAAGGAGGCATTAAAGGGTGTTTTGGGGGTATGAGAGCACGGATTGTTTATTAACCGCCATCCCCATATCCTAAGAGATAAATGTGCAGAACGAGAATGTCAAGATCGTTTCGTTTCCTTTTTTCAGAATAGTCTTCATAACCTAACATATCAAGGTTGCGCCAGTCAGCTAACGAAGACACTTTCCTCATCGAAACTTTTATTACAGAAACCAACTCAGGAAATTTTCGCTGTCACCTCCTCACCGTATTATCACTCGTCTCGACACATTCTTGTAAATGACGTGATCTCCGCAGTAAGATCCACAGTAAATCATGCGAGATTCACCGTAAGCATATCGCGTTCCTGAAAGATATTCCCGCTAGTGTCCGCAACCCTCTACGTGTCTACGGAGTGACTTTTTGTTCGCGGCTTCCTGGACAAAACGCCCGCGGTGTACATCTCTTTGCCCGTTACGCGTGAGATGGTAACATTGTACTCAAATATACGCATTTTCAGTCGCTATAGTCGCCGTGTCATTTCGCCGAGGCGTTTTTTGACAACAATGGCACTAGGGGCTTGTGGTCC